CTGTCTACGCTGCCAGAAAAGGTGTGTTCGTAGCTTGGGCCAATTACCCCATGTTAGCTAACTCAGGTTAAAATAGCAGTGAAGACACAGCGACTCAACTTTTAACTTGGGTTAGCAGCTCAAGTTAAACCGCAGGCTGCCCTATAGGCTTGGACTCGAGCTGCAAAGTCAAGCTGTGAATTTGAGTAAAAAGCCAAGTTGCCATGTCTTCCACTGCTGTTGTCCCTTGAGTTAGGGAATGCGGGTTAGCTAACCCGGGTTAAGGACACATCTGTGTTTGCAGTGCAGCTATGCCCTTTGTGCTGCAAGGCCAGAAGCAGCCACATCCCTGACAGTGCAGTTCCAGCCCTGCCAGGAGCTCCCATTGGCAGCAGGTGGGATTTCTCCCTGCTATATCTCAGCCACACCACACAGTTATGATGGTATTGGTGGGGCTCAGCGCCGAATGACCAGCTACCCCGTGTACAGGTGCATTCTAAGCACTACATGTGAAAATGTAAGGAATGTGTGTAATATATGTGTAATCCCTTACCCACCATTGGAACAAATAACATGGGCTAAAGATGTTGTTCATCCAACAAAATCTTACTCTATATTGTAGCCTTTTCTCTTCTCTTAATATTAATGCCACTCTCTCTGTAGGATATTTTATATTTAATACATTCTTGTACTCCCTGAACAACCAAAGATGCCATGAGATTTGCTCTTTTCCTATCATGTACATCAGAGGTTCCCAAACTTGTTCCGCCGCTTGTGCAGAGAAAGCCCCTGGCGGGCCAGGCCGGTTTGTTTACCTGCAGGTTCGGCCTATCACGACTCCCAGTGGCCGCGGTTCGCTGCTCCAGGCCAATGGGGACGGCAGGAAGGGGCAGCCGGCACATCCCTCAGCCTGCGCCGCTTCCAGCAGCTCCCATTGGCTTGGCGCAGTGAACCGCAGCCAGTGGGAGCCACGATCGGACGAACCTGCAGACGTGGCAGGTAAACAAACCGGCCCGGCCCACCAGGGGTTTTTCCTGCACAAGCGGCGGAACAAGTTTGGGAACCACTGGTGTATATGATAACTACAAATAACACTGTTTGTCAAAAAAGTAGCATGGTTTAAAAATATGAGAAAATTAGGAAATTTAGTGAATAATTTTCAAAAACAGACTGTATCATATATTGGGGTAAATTTTTCTTTGCTGGCCCCAAAACTCAAATCTGCGAGCACAAATATTTGTGCACCCAAACCAGGCAATTTAACATCTAATTAGTGAATCTGCCCGGGCAAAAGTCATTCATACATGTAAACTAAATGTTGGGGCACATAGGTTTAGCAGCCATGTTGAGGCCAATTTAAAAAAGTGGCATTTAATAAATTAGATTCATGCTGGAAGGGGAAAAATATTTTTAATAATAGGGATATAAAAAGTATAATACCTCTTCTTACAGATCAGAAACAGAACTCTGAAGTGGATGCAGTTTACTCACAATAACCTAAAGCATGGAGAAAGAGCCCATCATTAGGACTCCGTTTCTAGTCAAAGTAGAAGAACAGATAAAGAGCTGCCTGGTCTGGAGTGGACAGAGTTGCCGAATATCTTCACATTCAGCATTGGCATAACTATATTTGCAACATGATGCACAGAAGATCAGTACACTAATATTAGTAACAAATTTCAGTGTTTGTCCACACACCCATTGTGTATCCTTTAAGTCAGAGGTCCCCAAACTGTGGGGCACGCCCCCCTAGAGCAACATGGAGGAATTATCAGGGGGGCCCGGTGGGGCCCTGGCCATCCTCCACAGGGGGCAGGGAGGGAGTGCCACCCAGCCACTCTTTGCCCCTGGCTCTGCTCCAGTCCTACCCACAGCCATGTCCCCATTTTCTGGCCCAGCACCTGGCCCCGCCCTGCCCGCGGCTCTGTTCCCAGCATGGGGCCAAGGTTGGGGGTGGGGGTGGAGCTGCACCTGCCCCCG